ATTCCCTTTGCCTTCAAAGATTTCTTTTACTTTTTTTTTTCTTTTTTGAGGATTTTATCTTTTTTAATGCAACCTCTACCTCCAGCTTGGGGATTGAACCCACGACCGTCAAGAGTCAGACGTTCTACTAACTGGGCCAGCCAAGGACCCCTTCCCTTTGCCTTCAGCCTTCATCTTGGTGGTTCAGGGTTCTTTACCAGGTCATCCCAGACTTCCTTTTTTTTTTTTTTAAAGATTTTATTTATTTATTTAATTGTCAGAGAGAGAGAGAGATATCAAGAGCACAAGCAGCCAGAGTGGCAAGCATAGGCAGAAAGAAGCAGGCTCCCCTCTGAGCGAGGAGCCCAATGTGGGGCTCAATCCCAGGACCCCAGGATCATGACCTGAGCAGAAGGCAGAGGCTTAACCAACCAAGCCACCCAGGCATCCCCAGACTTCCATTTTTAAAGAATGGCAGATCTACCTGTATAGAATTGACTATTTCCCCCAAAGCTTTTATTTTCAAACATTTCAAACCTACAGAAATACTGAAAGATGAGTACAACTTGCATCCATGTACCTTCATCTAGATTTGCCCATTTTTACCATTTTGCTTCATTTGCTTTATCTCTTTGCCTATAAAAACTATCATCCTGACCTTTTGAAAATAAGATGTGGACATTATAACACTTCATCCTAAATACCCTAGCATTTATCTCCGTGACGTCTTTATTTAGCTCACTTCAGTCTTATTTGGCTTCTTTAATTTAAGGATTCACATCTTTCAGGGGCACCTGGCTGGCTCAGTTGGTTACCAGTCTGCCTTCAGCTCTAGCTTTGGTCCCTGGGACCTGGGACCAAGCCCTTCCTGTGCTCCCTGCTCATCAGGGAGTCTGCTCTGCCCTCTCTCTGCTCCTCGCCCCTGCTCATGCTCTCTCAATCTCTCTTGCTCATATAAATAAAACCTTTTTTTAAAAGATTTTATTTAGGGGCGCCTGGGTGGTTCAGTGGGTTAAAGCCTCTGCCTTCGGCTCAGGTCATGATCCCAGGGTGCTGGGATCGAGCCCCGCATCGGGCTCTCTGCTCAGCAGGGAACCTGCCTCCCCGCCCTCTCTGCCTGCCTCTCTGCCTACTTGTGATCTCTGTCTGTCAAATAAATAAATAAAATCTTTAATAAAAAATTAAAAAAATTTATTTATTTGACAGAGAAATAGATCACAAGTAGGCAGGGCAGCAGGCAGAGAGAGAGGGGGAAGCAGGTGCTCCCCCCACAGATGTTTTTATACTGGGTTTTTTACTCCTTTAAACACAATAAGCAGTGTTATTTTATGGTCAGTATCAGAAATTCCGGATGTTAAATCTTTGTGTGGGTCAATTTATGTTTTATAGTTTTTGTATAGGTTCTTGTACAAGGCTTCTTTTTTTTTAAAGATTTTATTTTGTTTATTTATTTGACAGACAGAGATCACAAGCAGGAAGAGAGGCAGGCAGAGAGACAGAGAGGAGGAAGTAGGCTCCCTGCCAAGCAGAGAGCCTGATGCGGGACTCGATCCCAGGACCCTGAGATCATGACCTGAGCTGAAGGCAGAGGCTTAATCCACTGAGCCACCCCGGCGTCCCACAGAGGTTTCTTTTTATTCTGTGTGCCTGATTGTTTTTGACGATGGGTTGGATGTCATATCTGAAAAACATGTTTGTAGAAATAATTTGGGGACTAGGATGACAGTACATTCGTTCATAAAACCTATTACTCAATACCAGATATGCTTGCTTCTGACAGGTGACCAGGGGCTGTAAAAAGATGGGTCTACTTTAATCCAAACTCAAGGCTTAAGCTTCCCTGAACCACCCAGATATGATTCTGGGCTACAAGTTCACACAAGTTAGGATCCCATCTTAAAGTGTGTATGTGCCCATGGTGGGGTATCTATTCTCCTACCTTGGGCTGGCTTTGGGTTTTGATTTTTAACCCTCCCCACCAAAACCACCAAACAACAGCTCAGTTTCACAGTTATATCTCCCAGATCAGTAAATGTCCCCAGGACAAAAATTGCTTCAAATTCTGGGCTTATATCTTTGGGTTTTAGCTTCCTAAATATCAGTCCAGTTATCCTCTCTCTCTCCCAAATAAATAAATTCAATCTTAAGAAAGAAAAAATAAAAAAGAATCAATCACACAAGCCAAAAGCATGCCCTCTTTTTCCTTTCTTGCCCAGTGGCAAGCAGAACAAAAAATAACCCATTGGCAGTCTGAGCTCCTAATTTAGGGAAATCATTATTGTGCCCCCTCGTGGAAGCATTCCTCCCTTAGGTCAGGCGGAACCCAGAGGCCCAGAAATAGGAAACACTTTGCAAAAGAGTCCTTCATTGAGATTGCAAAAGGCCGCACCCCACTTCCACTCCTTGGTTCCTTCCTGTAAGAGAAACACTGTATATACTGGTTACTGGGTCAGAGCATCTGTTGCTCAGTGATGTAGCATTTCTTTCTTTTTCTTTCTTTCTTTCTTTCTTTCTTTCTTTCTTTCTTTCTTTCTTTCTTTTACAGACAGAGATCGCAAGTAGGCAGAGAGGCAGGCAGAGCGAGAGGGAGAATCAGGCTCCCCGCTGAGCGGAAAGCCCGATGCGGGGCTCAATCCCAGGACCCTGGGATCATGACCTGAGCCAAAGGCAGAGGCTTAACCCACTGAGCCACCCAGGTGCCCCTGATGTAGCATTTCTTGAAAGAATCCTAAAATAAGTGAAAGGCATTGATTCTGAGCCCACAAACTACCTTTCCATCTACACAGAACTAGCCTGTATATTATTTCCTTTTTTTTTCTAATATTTTATTTATTTATTTGACAGACAGAGATCACAAGTAGTAGGCAGAGAGGCAGAAAGAGAGGAGGAAGCAGGCTTCCCGTGGAGCAGAGAGCCCGATGTAGGGCTCGATCCCAGGACCCTGGGATCATGACCTGAGCCGAAGGCAGAGGCTTTAACCCACTGAGCCACCCAGGCACCCCTCTATATTATTTCTAACATTTTTAAATTTTCTTATTGACATATACATGCAGCAAAGTGCCCCAGTTTTGGGTAGTTCAATAAATTTTTATAAAGTGAACCAACCTATGTACCCGCTACCCAGAAGAAGGAAAAAGAACATTCCTAGCACCTCAGTAGCCACCTTATGGCCCCTCTTGTCACTCTCCTCCGAAGAGAACTATCCTCCAGAGTTTTTAGCTCCAGATGGCGACCTTCTTGCTGTGACATCACAGGGCCTTTCCTCAGGGAAAGAGATAGCTGTCTTCTTCTTCTTACAAGGGCACTAATGCCATCATGAGGGCCCCACCCTCATGACCTCATCTGAACCTAATCACTTCCCAAAGACTTCACCTCCAAATGCCATCATATTGGGGGTTAATGCTTCAACAGAGGATGGGGGGAGTGGGGGATCACAAACATTCAGGCCACAACACACAATGTACTTTTGACTCCTGCTTTGGAGTCGCTTTTGATACTCTTTGTCCCCACAGTCGTTCGGTTCCTAGAGGTAAAAGACTGAACCAGTATTGTTTCTGAGTTTTTTCTTCCCAGTGGCCGCCACCTGCTATGCAAGTTGAGCGCAGGGTAGGCACTGTCCAATATCACACAACCCCCATCTACCAAAAGTGATTTTAAGGCACGGTGATGGTAAGATGTCACCCAATTCTGAAATATTAAAGTAGGGGAGGGGCACGGGGAATATGTGCATCTTAGAGTTGATGGTAGAAGGTATATGGCAAACACCAAAGGCCACACCCTGAGGACTGTGACATTTGAAAGTGGGACAAAGGACAGAATCAGCAAAAGAGGCTGAAGGAACTGCTGTCAATGTGTTCAGAGGCCAGCCAGGAGAATGTTCATCTCAGAGACCCTGAAAAGGGCTTGAAAAAGGAGGGAATGCGGGGCGCCTGGGTGGTTGGGTGGGTTGAACGGTGGATTCTTAATTTTGACTCACATCATGATCTCAAGGCGGTGGGGTGGACCCCCCCAGCCCCCCATCAGGCTCCACAGTCAGCTTATCCCTCTCCCTCTGCTTCTCCTCCCCACCCCTGCACGTGCTCCCTCTCTCTCAAATAAAAAAAATTAATTAAATCTTGAAAAAAGAGAAAGGAGGAACTGGTCAGAATGTCATGGTGTCTTTGTTAGGACCTGTTTCAATGAACCAGTGGGAACAAAATTGTCGTTAAACTGGGCGAAAGGGACTTGGAAATAAGTCAACAGAGATAGGGAGTATAAACAGAAACCTCGCTGTGAAAGGGTAGGAAGAAATGGGGTGATAAGCCAAGGCGACCACGGGCTGAAGGAAGGGCTCTGAATTTTTGAAAGAATATTAAGCCATGTTTGTATATGAATTTGCACGATTCAACAGTGAAGGAGTAATGAGTGGTACAAAAGATTCACGCATAGTTGCAGGAGGGAAATTCTTCAGAGCCTACGTGGAGGGACAGAAGTAGGAAGCAAGGGAGGAGGGTATCACTGACGTTGGTGGCTGGGTTTGGTGGCAGGAAGGGGAGGTAACTTTTGCCAAGACTCCAATGTTCAGGCCAAAGAACTGCCCAGTTCGGGCGTCAATTTTCCCCTCCTTGAATAGGCACACGATTGGGGACCCAAGTGTATTGTGCATTACTCTTGTTTTCTGCGACCCACCAACTCCCTCCCCGCGCCCATGAGTGAAGGCAAGGGGTTAACCACAAGGATAAATGTCGGTGAGGCAGCAGAACGCATAATGCTCCATCTAGCCCAGATCTGGGTCTCAAGTTTTCACCATCTTCTTGTCATCAACCCTCTCGTTTCTGCACCACGCCAGACCCTCCCTCTCCCGTCCCGCCCTCCACACGGAAGACCCGAGGCTCCCCCAAGAGCCTCGGGGCGCGCGCCCGTTTCCGTCGCGCCTGCGCATTGGGCTCCCTCGATTCTACTCCCCGACCCGGGTGGACTGTCACGAAGCCCGTTCTCCCGGCCTCGTTCTCGGGCGCGCGCCTTCGGGCGGCGCCTGCGCAGAGGAACGAGGAAACCGGTTCCCCGGTGCGGTCCCGGCGCCTGCGCGCTGAGGGCTCCGGGCCTCCCGGCCTGAGGGAGAGGAACAGGGAAGATGGCGGCTGTGGTAGAAAATGTAGTGAAGCTGTGAGTAGTCGTTTCTTTCTCTCCTAGGCCGGGAGATCTTGTAAGGGGCCTGGGAGTAGGCGGTGGTGCGGGAGGGGACGAGGCGGAGGGAAGGACGTGCCCGAGAAGGCCTGGTTGCGACTCCTAGTAGGGAGGGCAACAGGAGACTCCCAAGAAGACGTTGCGCTTCTTTGGAAACTTGTGGAGGCCCTGAGGGGGGCACACGGGAGCCCCTTACGGGCAGCCTCCCTGCGGCGCCGTGCGATCTGAGCGCTCCTTCGGGCTCACGGTGGCCCGAGTATGGCGCCGTCGTTGCGTAGGAGAGACACAGTCCGGGTGCGCTTCCGAGACCAGACGCCTCGGTCCGGAGGGGCCGGGCCGAGGGCGGGCCCGGGACCGACCCGTGTCCCCACGAAGCCGGGCGCCGACCCCTCCGGATCCGCTGCCCGCGGCCGGTCCTGGAGCAACAGGCTCAGCGGCCCTTGTGCGGTTAAGCACCGCGGGGCTGTTTTGTTTTAACAGCCCCTTGACGATCGGGGTGGGGGGTGGGGGTCTGAGTATCTTATTGCCAAGACCAGAAGCATCATCGGGAAGAATGTGTTGAGGAGCAAGGCGGTGCAGAAGGGAAGGCACTTCAGGGGAGAGGGCCTTTGCACCAGCCAGTCCAGCCACCAAAAAAACGGGAACTGGACGGAAGCGGTCCAGGACGCCTCTGCAGCCTGGAGGGGCATCTAGGTCGGCAGGCTGCGCGCTGTGCGGTCGCCTTGTGCTGGTCAGGTTTCGAGCAAAGTTAAAGTTAATGGTTGTTGGCGAAAATGGAGCGGGGTCTGTTGGCTGTGAGTTAAAGATTCTTTGGGACTTGATTGAACCTAGCCTCCTCCCTGAAGAGATGGGTTCGTGCCCGGTGGGCCAATAGAGCAAGCTCTTTTCAGTGGGTAAATTGGGCTTGATGCAGAGGTAGGAAAACCGAGAGGCGACTCATTATCCAGGCAGGGCTTTTGGATTTGGACTGGATGACAGGGTAAAGGTTTGAGAACTGTTCTGAGGGACTCACAGCTTCTCATCTGCCTTTGTGGTGGCTGAGCCCCCACTCTTCCCAAGAGCCTTTTTAAAGAGTACATTGCTTTGCCTACCTCCCCTCCTCCCGGCCTGGAGCCTTTTCTTTGAGAATGCCTTCCCACTTCCATTAAGCTAAGTGCCTTCTTCTCCTCCTGTGTGTGTGGTTTTTTTTTTTTTTTGTTTTTTTTTTAAACTTGCTTTCAGCTCCATCCTGCCTCCTCTTTCAGCTACCCCTCCTCCCAACACTATTATCTTTCTCTCTGATCTGCCCACTCCAGTTTCCCCCAGCTCTTTCTTCAGGCTGACATTTCCCTCAATTTAGAAATGTCGCTCTTGATCTACCATTTATATAGTTATTCTTCCTGACTCAGATGTTCTTTCTTTGTTTCCCTGCCTTTCTCTTTGTTGACTACCCCCCCCCCAACACACACCCCAAGCCCACTGTAAAGGGAGGTTTTACACAGGTTTCACGCTTCCTGGAAAGAAATCAGAGCTCCTGCCTTGGAAATCTTACTGTACCAGGGGAATGTTAGACTTCCCTAGATTTTAAGAGTTAATAGGTAACGAGATTTTATGTTGGAAGACTTTCTTCAGGGAAATAGAGTTGCCAACCCTTTCATGTAGTCCTAGAAGGGAGGAGTTGCCCATTTCAAGAGCACGACTCATTTCTCTTAAAGGTGCTACAGAGATTGTGAGGGTCACCAGCCCCTGGTTCCTGAGTGCTAGTAATGAGAAACCAACTTTCTCAGTTCTAGCTGCAGACGGCTGTTCACTGCAATTAATACATTTCCCTACAGACCTTGCCCTGAAAGAAGGGGCTTCCGTTCTTCCAGTACCGTCCTCACCCAGGAGATACTTTTCTGGAACTTCTCTTGATCGTGGTATGCCTGCTTTTTGAACGGCTGAGGTTATACATGGAGGTCAGGACTACTAGCTCATATTTTCTGACTTGCATCTGGTTCTGGGAGAAGAATTTTGCCATTTATAAATTCCCTCTCTTTCTTAGTCTCTCTTCATCAGAACCCCTCTCCCCCTGACTTAGGTGTTTCATTCCCAGTTCTCTCACAAGGCAGTTTGCACCATCTTCTGAAATCTCACTTAACTCCCAAGTGCTGTGACAGACCCTCTTATTATCCGCCCCCCCAAACCAGTTGTAGCTTCGGTGTTCTGACTCTGCAGCCTTCAGTGCATCTCACCCTTCCTTCCATTTGATTTCCAGCGTCAGTATCCATTGCCATCAGCAGAAACAAAGGAGCTGCTGCGCTCGGCCTTGTTTATCCAATTTTCCTCTGTGTGGTGAGGACATGGCTGCCTCCTAAAGGCCAGCTAATGTGAGCCTGTTCCCTTTTTCTTTCACTCCCCAACACAAGATTCGTGCTTACTACTTCAAATTACAGTTATTACCACTCATTGAATCAAGTCAGGCAATCTTGTGTTGCTGTCGCCTCGTGTGTGGTGTGTCTTCAGTTGCTTGGGAACATACTAAGCTGTGCCTGCGTGGTCTATTGTGACCGCTCTGTGAAAGCCCTCTCGGATTCCAGAGCCTGGTTTTTCAGTGGAGCTTGAGTTATGGACATAACAGAGACGCACTCTGTCCAGCTCCTCATGCGAGGGGTCTCCCTCGAGTAGAATGTGTTAGAGCTTATCGAGTCCGGCTTCCCCAGGCCAGCAGAGGAAGCTGAGCTCCACACGGGCTGACTGGATGTCCACATTCGTGTGGTGACTTGCAGCCAGGCAAGGTCTTTTTGCTCCCAGGTCAAGATGTCCCAGACACCTTCGTGGATACTAGGGATACTGTGGGAAAGAAACCACCTCTGCCCTCAGTTTATTTACAGTGGATCGAAAATGTAAAGACGGGTCACTGTCGTTCCAGTACTAACGCGTTTGTTACGCCCTGAGGATGAGAACAAGGTTGGTTCTGTATACATGCTTCTTAGAATCAGGTAACTCCTGGCACTGTGTAGTTGTCCAGCTTTTTAAAGCACTTAAAGTTTTACCCTTATTCAGATTTCAAACTGAGTCTTCTGAGTGAAAGAAGGTTCTTTCCTGTATAATTTGATGGTGTGAGAATGGAAAAGGGCCTCAGATGGGCCTGTGTGAGCAAACAGATTTTATATCACTCTAATGGCACTCGGGAAAAAAGTAGAATTCAAAGAAGTTCAGGTGTTGTTCACATGTTTTCCAGTGACTTTAAAATTAGCACATGCGGGGCGCCTGGGTGGCTCAGTGGGTTAAAGCCTCTGCCTTCGGCTCGGGTCATGATCCCAGGGTCCTGGGATCGAGCCCCGCATCAGGCTCTCTGCTTGGCAGGAAGCCTGCTTCCTCCTCTCTCTCTCTCTCTGCCTCTCTGCCTACTTGTGATCTCTCTCTCTGTCAAATAAATAAATAAAATCTTTAAATAAAATAAAATTAGCACATGGAATTAATTAGTTCACTCAGTACAGGTTCCCCCCACCCCCACTATTCAAAGTAGAGTGTTCTTAAGAAACTGTACATAAGCCGACATGGCATAAAGCAAAAAAGCAATTGCCACTTCTTAAAAATGAAAATCCTCTCTAGATCTCTTCCGGTTAGTGAAAACAGGTACTGTTGTAGGTCTTTTATAAAAGTGAAGTGGCAGAAAGTACACCATCAGATAGTGGGGGAAACCTGCACCTAGTACAAATTCAAAAGATCTAAAATGGCATATAGGAGAACCCCAGCAAGTCACCCAGTTTTTCTCTCTGGAGGCCTCCAGTTTCTTGTCTACTTCTTGTTACATAAATGGTAGCATCCTGGAACACTTCTCAGCACTGTACCTCGCTTTTTTTCTAGTCATCTTGGAAATGGTTTGATATCAGCATATGAAGAGTTTCCTTCTTTTTTACGGCTTAATAAAAATTCGTTGTGTAGACGTGCTGTAGTTTGTTAACTATATTTTAGTAAGGGCTCTAGACCTTGTTGAACTCTTCCTCGATTGTGAAAAGAAGCTAACCTGTGCTTCTCAGAGTCAGGAGGGTTAAGAGAAGCAGTGTCTGGACTAGCACAGGGCTAGAACATTGTATTAGAACATAGAGAGGCACAGAATGAACGTTAGTTTCTCCCCATCTTTGTGGGTGAGGCTTAGGCCTGAGTAGACACATAAGAGATCATGTGTTCCTGATGGTAATTTATGAAGTGCCTTTCCTCATAGTGGCTTAGTGAAGGGGTGTGGTGTCCCATGAGGCGGAAACGGAGGCAAATAGGACCAGAGCCGCAGTCTCCCGGTCCCTTGAGCCTTCTAAAGAAGCAGATGGCAGGGGAGTGGGGCCGCTCGGCTCCCTGTGCTCTGCCCTGCCCCAGCACATGCGCACCTGATCTGTGTGTCCGCTGCAGCCTTGGGGAGCAGTACTACAAAGACGCCATGGAGCAGTGCCACAACTACAATGCCCGCCTCTGCGCTGAGCGCAGCGTGCGCCTGCCTTTCTTGGACTCACAGACTGGAGTGGCCCAGAGCAACTGTTACATCTGGATGGAGAAACGACACCGGGGTCCAGGTGAGGTGAGGGTTCAGACTCGGGAGCACAGGGAAGGCAGAAGCTTCTTCATCTTACGTGATGAGCCAGCTGAGAGGGTTTTCCTCACTGCTTCCACGCGTGCGTGAATACGGTCTTGCCTGGGTTAGAGGCCCAGGGAAGATGAAGCAGGCGGGTTCGTACCAGCATCTTTGTTTTCTGCAGGGCTGCCCTACTGACGCTGGCATTGGGCTTCTGGGGAGCTCTGTGTTAGCCAAGGCCCCCGAGCTTCCATCTGTTTTTCTTTTCCATAAACTGTCACTTCTCCTGCCCCCAGGCCCTCACTGTCCATATTGCTCCCTCACTGTAGAACTTGGTGGGCAGGGGGTGCTACTCCTCTAGAAGGTGTTTGATGTTATTGCCCAGGACTGCGTTAGGCCTTGACTTTTCTCTCTTTCTTCTTTCCCACAGGATTGGCCTCTGGGCAGCTATACTCCTACCCTGCCCGGCGCTGGCGGAAAAAGCGGCGAGCCCACCCTCCTGAGGACCCAAGACTTTCTTTCCCATCTATTAAACCAGGTAAAGCACACCCCTTCTTGAGCTGGGGTGTGGCCTGCTGCTTGTAAGGCTGGTAATCAATCACCGGTTACGTACCAGGCCCAGTGCTAGATCCTGAAGATGCTAGAGTGAATGAGATGCCATTCCCTCCTTTACAGAGCTCAGTCTGATAGAGGAGACAAGTAAATGGATAAGTTACGGTGCCAAGTAAACTGGGGTGTCTTGGTTCCTGGGCAGCCAGAGACCAAAAGACAGTGACTGGTCCATCGCTGGCCTAGCACTGTGTAGACCCAGAGCGGTCTGCTTTCAGCCCTTCTGAGCCTCGCCTCATCCTGACCTTGCCTGCAGACACAGACCAGACCCTGAAGAAAGAGGGGCTGATCTCTCAAGACGGCAGTAGTTTGGAGGCTCTGTTGCGCACAGACCCCCTGGAGAAGCGAGGTGCCCCCGACCCCCGAGTGGATGATGACAGCCTGGGCGAGTTTCCTGTGACCAACAGTCGAGCACGGAAGGTATAAGATGAACCCCATGGCTAAGGGAGCTCTGATGGAAATCAGCCTCCTCTTTATCGGAGGCCACCCCGTATTCAGAATGGAAGCAGAAGCTTTGGGCCAGGAGGCAGGCCCCTGGGGTTCTAGTCCTGCTTATTCCCTAATTAGCACTGGGTACTGACTGGCTTTGCTATTAGTATCCAGTTTCTCCTGTTCCTTTTCTTCTAAGTATAGACTCTCCCTCAATTCATCATCTTTTGTCACAGATGTTTTCTGGTGCCTGAGGTTACATGGGTGAAGCAGGCCTGGTCCATACCAGCGAAGAAGATAAAACTATGCCCATAAATAAAAAGAGTTAAAACTATGGCAGGCACTGTGCTAAGTGCTTGTCCATCATTTTCTCTAGTCTCTACAGCAGTAGGAAGTAGGTACCATGGCCCCCGTTTCACATACAGGGAAGCTGAAGCAGAGCGGTTAGGGGAAAAAACTTCCTATAAGTCCACACAAGTAAGCAGCAAAGGTCTTTTTTTTTTTTTTTTTTTAAGATTTTATTTATTTATTTGACAGAGCGCCCACAACTAGGGGGAGCAGAAGATGGAGAAGCAGACTCCCTGCTGAGCAGGGAGCCCAACTCAGGACTCGATCCCGGCACTCTGGGATCATGACCTGAGCGGAAGGCAGACACTTAACCAACTGAGCCTCCCTGGCACCCCCGGAGCTCTTGATTGAAATCTAAGAAGTGGCTCAGTCTGTAGAGCATGCTATTCTTGACCTCGAGGTCATGAGTTCAAGTCCCAGCCTGGGTGTGGAGATTACTAAAAAAATAAAATAGACTTAAAAAAATTAATCTAAGAAGTGAGCTGTCAGAAGGGACCCACTGATAGTATGTTCCTAGGGCAGCAGATCAGAGGCAGGAGAGAGCATGGCTACTTGGGGTAGCAGGGAAGACTTCATGAAAACATGGCATTTGAGTCGGCCCCTTGGAGAGGGTGGGGAAGGCACTCTAGGGGAGCAACAGGAAAAGAGTCGAAAAGGAAGGAAAGACCAAAGCATGGAAAGGAAAAGGAATGGGATTCTAGGGTGTTACAGGGCAGCCGTGAGGAATGAGGCCAGACTTGGAGGGGCCAGCAGAGGGCCTCCGCCCATGGAAGAGGTTCTGGGTGGCCTGGCCAGGCCCATTGTGGGGGACCTTCTGGAGGTACATTGTATCTGCCCATCGTAATCCTTCTGTCCACTCAGCGGATCCTAGAACCAGAGGACTTCCTAGATGACCTGGATGACGAGGACTATGAAGAAGACACTCCCAAGCGTCGGGGCAAGGGGAAGTCCAAGGTGAGGAGGCAGAGCCCTGCCTGTGGGGGTGCCTCCAGCGCCCCCTGTACTGTTGCTTGTGCCATGTTTTCTCTTGAGTGAAATGAGCAGGGGAGTGAAAACCCCGGGGAGTTTACTCCTCAGGCCTAGACATCTTTGTTTCATTTTGTTTTGTTTTTTTAAAGATTTTATTAATTTATTTGACATGGAGAGGGAACACAAGCAGGGGGAGTGAGAGAGGGAGAAACTGGCTTCACACAGAGCAGGGGGCCCCGTGCGGGGCTCCGTCCCAGGACCCGGATCGCGACCTGAGCCGAAGGCAGACCACCCAGGCACCCTAGGCCTAGGCATCTTACTAAGGGGATCTTTCTGTTGGTTTTGTTTCGTTTCGGGCAGGGGAAAGGTGTGGGCAGTGCCCGTAAGAAGCTGGACGCTTCCATCTTGGAGGATCGGGACAAGCCCTATGCCTGTGACAGTGAGTGCCTCACGAGTGGGTGGGTGGTCCCTGCCTTGGACCCAGCCCCTGCTCAGGATCTGAGAGGAGGGAGGGTTGTGTTCTTGCTCCATGTGGTAACAAAAGGCCTGAATGCTTTCTCCTGCCTGCTGACTGGTTCCCTCTGAGACCCTTGGGAGGTCCCAGCCTCTGCTACCCAATGGGTGGGACCTGCATGCTCTGGGAGAGGTTTCTACTGTCCCCTGGGGTGGGGTGCTGGGGACAGGGGCGCACACAGCAGGCAGAATTGGCCCCTCTGTCGACCACATCCAGGTCTGCTGGCCCCAGTCAAGCCAGGGCCCCCCAGAGTCCAGCACCGAATTTTTCAGTGTCTGCTCTCCCCCTTTTCTCTGACTCGTCCCACTTCTGTCCCTCCGTCCTGGGAGCACCATCGCCGCTGGTTTCTCTCTCGTTTGCTCCGCTTTCCTGCTGCTGCCGCTCCTGTCTCAAGTGTATCAAGGCCTTCTTCTCATGACTTTTCTTTCTGTCTTTCAGATAGTTTCAAACAAAAGCATACCTCGAAAGCGCCCCAGAGAGGTAGCTCTCTCAACTTTTCAGACTTTTGGTTTTCCTATCCCTCTTCCCTCCTCCCTTGTTTCTCCCACCTTTCTCATCTCCTGCGATGCTAGTGTAAACGTCTCTGGAATGGCATGGGGATAGGAGCAGTGGGCTTTCGGTTGTACTCCACTCCTCACGGTCCTGGAAGCTGCCTTTACCACCGCTTGTCTCCCACAGACTTGCTCCTAGGGCTCCTCGGCCCTGCTGCATGGGGTGGCTTCAGAAGGGTTCTCAGGAACCCACTCCAGACAGATCCCTCTGCTTCCCCTTCCCCGGGACAGACACTTGGTGGTCAGCTAATGTTTCTCATCATCCTGCCGCCTCTCCTCCCATCCTTTCCCCGTTCCCTCCTGCCGGCGCCCTTGCTCTTTTTGGTATCACTGCTGAAGAGTACAAGATGCCTTGTGGGGACCTGCTTTCCTTGCTGATCGGTGGGGGGTGGGCAGGGCACTGACCTGGGAGCGTCTTCCAGCTGCCTTGGGGGCCAGATACCCCAACAGACTTATTGATAGGTGATTCCCCAAGGGATCCACTCCCTACTCCTATATCCTCATTGGGCAGGGGTGAGCTCTGTGGTATACGTGGAGAGCTTGAGCTTCCCATGGTTATTGAGAGGTAAAAAAGTCTGGAGTCTCTTCCTTACCTTTTTTCCTTCCTGCCAGATTACAAAATTTTAGAGATTCCCTTCCCTTCCTGACCTGGAGCTCCCTCCCCCAGACTAGTCCCAGGGCAAGTGGTAACGGGGCCAGGGTTCAACCTCCCAGACAGCCAGTGTGGAAGAGCAGAGGTGGCCGTGGGCTGGGGTGTAACAGAGGCCAGAGCCATGGAAACTAGAGAACCCCAGGGCCTGATGCTCCTCGCCGGAGGCAGGTGGCCGTCACTGAAGGCCTGTCGCAGACAGAGCCGAGGGGGGCAGGGGTGGTTGCCTCTGCCTCAGCTGGAGCCCCGCAGCTGGGGGGAGAGGGGGGTGAGGGGGCGGGGATGTGGCTCTCTTGGATCCCAACACCTTCCTCTGTTGTCTTGTCCCCACCCAGTTTGTGGAAAACGTTACAAGAACCGACCAGGCCTCAGTTACCACTACGCCCACTCCCACCTGGCGGAGGAGGAGGGCGAGGACAAGGAAGACTCGCAGCCCCCCACCCCGGTTTCCCAGAGGTCGGAGGAGCAGAAGTGTAAGCTGGCGCGCCGGAGGTGGGGCAGGGGGAGTCTGCCTGCCCCCGAAGGCCTCCCTGCAGGCCTGCTGGGTGCCTCAAGGCCCCCGGGAGCCCACTCGGAGCTCTTTCCCTCTCTGTAGCCAAGAAGGGTCCCGACGGCCTGGCCCTGCCCAACAACTACTGCGACTTCTGCCTCGGGGACTCCAAGATCAACAAGAAGACGGGGCAGCCTGAGGAGCTGGTGTCCTGCTCGGACTGCGGTCGCTCAGGTACCCCCCCGCCCGGGGCCAAGGGACCCCCCCCGACCCCCGCCCGCCGCCGCCGCCGCCCGGGTGACGCACCCCTCCTCCCCCCCGCAGGGCACCCGTCTTGCCTGCAGTTCACCCCCGTGATGATGGCGGCCGTGAAGACCTACCGCTGGCAGTGCATCGAGTGCAAGTGCTGCAACATCTGCGGCACCTCCGAGAATGACGTGCGTGGCCCCGCGGCCCCCCACCGCCCCAGCCCGCAGCTGCCTCCCGGGGAGCAGCAGACCTTCCCTGGGGCACTAGCCTGGTGTCAGACACCATTCCGGGCACTCGGCGCTAAACGAGACGGCAGGGTCCCCCCCAACCCCCCACCGTGGACTTGCCCTTCTTGTGGGGAACAGGCAGTGAGCGAGGAAGGGCGCCGCGGTTTCCCGGCGTGCCGGGAAGGGAGCGGCAGCTGTGGTGGTCCAGGCTGCTGGGTACCCGGCGTTGGTGGTCAGAGCTGCCTTCTCCCCGGAGGCAGTGCTGGGGTAGAGATTCCGTTAATTCAGAGGGGTCAGTCCGAGAAGGTTTGCGGGCACAGCGTGCCCAGGACAGGAGCAACGAGGCCGGCGGCCTTTGGGCCGACGGGCCTAGTGGACCGAGGCAGTTGGGCTGCTGGGGGCCTCCCTGCAGCAGGAGCGCAGTCGGAGAAGGGATCAGGGGGCAGGCGTCGCCGGGTCTGAGGGTTTAATTGGGAGTGATGTGCTCTGTCTTAACATTTTTAAAAGAGAAGTTTCCTCTGTGAAGACTAGCACGTGGGGGACAAGAGTGGAGGCCGTGGGCTGAGTTCGGAAGCTGGTAGGGTTCAGGCGGTATGACAGGGACTCACTCGGCCTGGGTGGAGAATTTCCTCTCCAGAAATTCGCGAGTCCGCTCTTCCCCGCCGGCTGCCCCGCCACCCTCGGAAGAAGCAGCAGTGTCTGCAGAAGCTCCCGTCCCTGTCCGCCCCCGCTGGCCACTCACCTGCCCCTTCCCCCTCCATCCTGCCTCCTCTAGGACCAGCTGCTCTTCTGCGACGACTGTGACCGCGGCTACCATATGTACTGTCTCACCCCGTCCATGTCTGAGCCTCCTGAAGGTAGGTTGTCCTGACCTCTCATGCAGAACAAGTATTTTATTAGTGACCCGGAAAATAATTGTACAATGAGTGAGTTCTCCTGTGTGTTCTTCCAGATAGGGAATAGACCCTTGGCCTTCACTTAGAATGCTTTCCTAGCATTTCCGCCTTGAGGGTTTAACGTTCGCACATTACCACCAGGTACATTTAGAAATGCAGAAAATCAGCAACCAAAGAGAGACGTGGGGCTGAGCGGAGTCACCGGAAGGAGTGCTTTTGCTTTCCTCCAGGCAGCCCAGGGAGCTCAGTTCGTGGTTTGTCTGATGCGAGGCTTTGATATCAGCTCTTCGAATGTGATAGGTTTGAGTGTGCATTTCCTCCCTCTTCCCTTGCCCAGCCTGGAAAGGTATTGAACCTGGAGCCTGAATGGGTCCGTCTATCCCTCCCACAGTTTGCTTAATAATGCTCCCGAGTTTGCGCAAGCTTTTCAGCCAAACCGGTGGTGGCACCAGAAAGCGGCTGTCTCTCTGCAGGCCCCCCTCTGGCCAGATCTCTGTGCCTAAACCCCTCCTTTACAGAAATCCGGGAGCTTACTCAGGAGGCTGCACATGCCCAGTGGCTTTTACTGTGCACAAAGACTGTGGGCCAGCAACACAGACAGGAGAAAGCGCCTCACTGTGGTTAGGCTAACCTGTAATGTAGGTCACACTGCTGTCACCCCCCTAGGGAAGGGGACACGAACAAAGTCTGCAAGTCCTTTGGCAGCTGCAGGGGAGCACACCGCTGTTGTTGTCTGTCATGCGCAGCTTCTAAATCCACTTCGGGGAGAAGTAGCGTGTTCCATCTTTTATTTTTTTTAACCATGAAATACCAGTTTACAGACAGAATTCCACATGAGCTGTAGAGGGGCCTTCGTACTGGAGTACTCTCAGAGGCTGAGGTAGTGAGGAGCTGCCGGGAGCCGAGGGAGAATTCTCTAGAAGCCGCAAGGGGGCTAGGCTCTTAGGTCATGGGGTCCGCAAACTGCAGCTCATCGGCAGCCAGGCCCAGCCACAGCCAGCATGTGTATAGCTTCTAAGCTAAGAACGGTTTTCACATTTTTAAAGGTGATTTAAAAAAAGAACGGGACCAAGACTGTATGTGGCTCGCAAAGCCTAAACTATTTACCATTCTGGCTGGCTGTTTACAGAGAAGCCGTCCAGCCCCTGCGCTATTGACCTTTGGGTTAGAAAGGCCCCTCTTAGGTTCGGAGCGCCCCATGTCTGCAGAGCTTATAAAAGGTGTGGATTCTTTCCCCCATACACATCCACATCCACAGATAAACATTGACACTAATTTTGAGGCATTAAGGACTAATTTTGTTGCTAAAAAAACACAAAGAACACACAGACACAGAAGAACACAACCATTATAAATACTAATAAGCAAAATTTGAAACACTTTTCTGGCAAGGGACGTTTCCCCCGCATCTATTCTAAGAGATAGATCGTAACATCACAGTTCACCCCCTTTTCCTGTCACTGCTCCTCAACCTCTTAAACACCTGATGGTGAGCCCATCTCATCTTTCCATGGTTTTCCCAGAAAGCTATCTTATGTGGAGTCAAAACTGGTTTCTCTAGAACCACTATTATGATCTTCATCCTGACCTTTGGGGCCCTGAGAACAAAGTCTGGTTCTTCTCTAATCACAAGTGTAAAGCTGGGATGCTTTGAAAATTTAGTCTGCCCAGGTGCTCCTAGAGATTTCGGATTTAAGAGGGCCAAGAGGGCCTAGGACACTGTATTTGGGAATAGTCCTCCACGTGATTATTTCTTTCATCACCGCTGGGAATTATTTTTCCTGATATTTGAAGCCCGGGAGGTTTCTTTTAGCTCAGGATAACCATGGAACTTTGCTACCACAGAACATCTCCCGGCCTTCTGTAGCTGGTCCTGCTCCTGGAAGTGAGGTGTGGGGAGTGGCAGGACAGCACCTTAGGGCAGTATGGGACCCATCCTGACCCCTTTCTGCTTCTCTGCAGGAAGTTGGAGCTGCCACTTGTGTCTGGACCTGTTGAAGGAGAAAGCTTCCATCTACCAGAACCAGAACTCCTCTTGATGTGCCCCCGCCCCGCTCCCCTTTCCCCCCGCCGTACATCTAGGGCTGTTTCTCTCTTCCTCTCTTTGTTTTTCATACCCACCTTTCCCCTCCTCCTCTTTCACAAGTCCAGAGAACCTCGGGTGGTCGTGCCAATCTGCCTTTGGCAGCAGCAAGCTGAGGTGGCAGCTCTGACCGCCTCTGGCCCTAGGCCCTCAGGGAGAAAGGAGCAGCACGCTGCCCCAGGGCGTGCCTGCGGCCCAGCTTCTCACTGCTCTCCGTGAAGTGCTTTCACTCTGCCTGCCTTGGGCCCCGGCCCTGGCGATCACAGGGTTCAAACCGTGTCCTCCGAGTACGAGTAGGAGAGCAGCTCACTTTTCTCTCAGCTCTGCCTCCACTCTGGTCCCCAGGGTTTTCCCTTCCCCTGGAGGCGAGCCAGACCAGGGCCTCTGCCAGGAGCAGCTGGGAGTGAGCGACAGAGCAAGCTGAGGCGGCGCTTGCAAGGAGCTTTCCAGGCCCTTGGTGCTGCTTAGCCTCGCTCCCTCCTTCCCCCAGAGCGGCTCTCTGCAGCTCTCTCTCTTCCTGCTACCCAGGATCCTTCGCCCAAGCCAGGATGCTCTTGGTCACTCTCCTTGCTCTGCCCTGACCCACCCCACCCCACCCCACCCCAGGGGGAGTCGCAGCTTCACCTGATTCCTGCTTGTGTGCACCTGGCTCGCTCACAGGTGGTCTCGATGACCGAAGCATTCCCCGCCCTGGGAATTTCCTGTCTTCTGCCTCCCCTCCTATTCCCTTTGGTTTTGTGGGGAGAGGGGAAGAATCAGGGGGCCAGGCCGGCAGCTTGGGGGCCACGGGGAGACGTTGGATAATGTGCCTGTTTTTTAACTCGATGAAAAAAGCCTACCTCCAGAATCCCCTTTTTGTTCTTCCTGGACCTGGACATCCAGCTCCTGCCCTTGACTGAATTGGGATCCTCTGCCTCTTGCTCTCTGTGTCCTGGCCCCTGGGTCACAGGAAAGCCACATAGACATCCCTCTCTTCCCTTGCACACTCGCTAGCAGCTGGTAAGGTCTCCACATCCTGATTCCTCAGTTTTTTGCTTGGTGACACTGATATGAAGTAGTGGAGGGAGATAGTCCGTGCCAGAACCCCCTGGAGTGGCCTTCCCCTTGGCTGTGGGCAGGCCCTAATTCACTGTCCCTTTGGAGTTGAGGTGTCTTTCTTTCTTTAGTTCCTGTATTCTAAACATTAGTACAAATAAACGTTTTTACACAGAACTCCCTGCTGGATGGTTTATCTCGACTCCCTTTCCTGGTTGAGAAAGTCATTTCAGCCTAAAACTTCTCTTCCGCAGGTCAGTGGTTTATAAGTGTTTTGAAATAACAGCTTTTAATCCCAAATTAAAATTTTGCTAAAGCTCAGTATGTAAAGCAGATATAAAATTGAGTACTTTGTTCTGATATCTTTTCCTATTTTAAGATTTTTTTTTTTAAGATTTTACTTATTTATTTGACAGATAGAGATCACAAGTAGGCAGAGAGGCAGGCAGAGAGAGAGGAGGAAGCAGGCTTCCTGCCTAGTAGAGAGCCCAAGGCGGGGCTCAATCCCAGGACTCTGGGATCGTGACCTGAGCCCGACATGGCTTGATCTGTACCCAGCACAGAGCCCGACACGGCTTGATCTATGACCCTGAGATCATGACCTGAGCCGAAATCAAGCATCCTGGGTCTATGTTTTGGTTTGTTTGAAGGTAATTCTGCTAGACTTGTATATGCAAGTGGTGACAGTCTTCTAAAGGTTAATCTTGGGATTTTAGATACTTAAAGTGGGTTCAGAAGCTGAATCATAAATACAAAAGAATGACGGAAGAAAAGAACATCATAGTGGGACATGTGCAAGCTTTGTTCACGAGCATAGAGGCACCTCGACTTCTCGTGGCTGGCATTCCTTCCTTTACCCCCCATGAGCGTGAACTCTGCCCGCACAGCCACCTTCCTTGGGGAATGTTTATGTGCATGAAAAATGATGCCTTTCCTTGTAGCCAACATGTTGTTGTTGACGACTTCCATAATGGATCTTCTGTATCTCACTTGAAAGTGTTTTGTAGCTCTTAAACTTTTTAAGATTTCCATCGATCAGTTATGAACCCCCTGAGGTATCCTTAGGGCTTTTTGAAACAGTCTGAAAACCACTGACCGTGCTCACTTCAGCAGCACACACACTGAAAACCACCGACCCACTGGAAAGCCAGTGGCCTAGGCCATTGCATTCAGTAAGTAAGCTGGGTGCTCTGAGCCGGGAATTGTGTTAGTAATAGAGCACATCCCCTGTCCTCAGGCTTTTACACGGAAATAGGACAGAAGCAGAGGGAGTAAAGCAATGATCGTTGGTGGCTGAGCAGGAGTTAGAAAAGAAATAGAAGGAAAAGAAATGTGTGTGTTGGGGGGGAAGCTGTAGCAGCCTAAGAGAAGATATTTGGAAAAGGTTTGCAGAAGGTGGGGTTTGGCATGGGACATAGAAGGATGGAGAAAGGATCAGGCATAGATTGGGTTGGGGGGGTTGCCTGTGAGGCAGAGAGACGGGGACTCATCCGTGGCCCAGGCTTCCCATCAGAGCTGGGAGTGGGGGAGGGAAAGCAGGCTGAAGTTGAGGATGGGAACACGCGACCACGGGTCGTACCTTCAGTTGCTAAGAACAGGCAGGACTGAAGATTACTAAGGAAAGAACTGGTATTAGACCTTAAGTTTAAAAACTTGAATCTTCCGGCACCTGAGTGGCTCAATCGGTTAAGCGTTGGACTCTTAATTTTGGCGATGACCTCACAATCTCAGGGTTGTGAGATCCAGCCCTGCTCAGACCCTGGAGTCGGCTCTGCACGCTTAAAGAAAGAAACTTGAATCTTGCCAACCACTATCAAACTAATAAAAACTAATAAAAATTAGTCCTTACTTGCCCTAAGTCAGAACTGGCCATGGGGCACCTGGCTGGCTCAGTCATTAGAGTATGCAACTCTTGATCTCAAGGTTGTGAGTTGGAGCCCCCGTTGGGCATGGAGCCTACTTTAAAAACCAAAACAGGGGCGCCTGGGTGGCTCAGTGGGTTAAAGCCTCTGCCTTTGGCTTAGGTCATGATCTCAGGGTTCTCAGATCGAGCCCCGCGTGGGGCTCTCAGCAGAGAGCCTGCTCCCTTCCTCTCTCTCTGCCTGCCTCTCTGCCTACTTGTGATCTCTGTCTGTCAAATGAAAAAATAAATAAATAAATAAATAAATAAATAAATAAATAAATAAATAAAATTCAAACAAAACAACCAACTGGCGCCAGGCAAGTTATATCCCCAGATGGACCAATCAACCTGAGGCCAGCGCTGTCCATGGTAACAGCTTTTGTGTGGCTTAAAGCTTTCATCCATTTTTCTCACAACCAGTCCGTGACCGGTATTAGCCCTGTTTGGTAGATGAGAAAGCTGCGACTGCCTAGGTCACCGCCAAGAAGGCCTTGAGACGCCAGATCTGCTTGCCGGCCCCCGCGCTGCCCCAGGCTCCTCGGGCCCCAGCGGCTGGCGATGCCTCCGGGACTCCCGCGGGCTCTTGGCTCCGCCTCACCGCCGCTCGCGCTGGAATCCCCGCCCCCAAGAGGGCCCCGCCACTTCCGCAACGTCCAATGAGACTTAGCTGGGGGCGGGACGGGACGTCATTGAGGGCCAATCTGATGGGCCCTGGGCGGGGCTGCGGCGGGTGGGAGCCGAGCGTCTGCACCGCGGTCTCCCTAGCCGGGAGAGAGCCCGGCGCGGGCGGCGCGCACGGGGCCTTCATGGGCGCGCGCCCGCTGCCCGCCGCCCGCCACCCGCGCAGCCCCTCGGCCCACTCGGCCCTCCGGGTCGTGGCGCCCGTCCCTCCCCTGCTCTCCCGTCGCCGCCGGGACAGGGGCTCCGAGCTGAGCAGAGCCGGGGCAGGGGCGGGAGCCGCGGGACGAGCGCCTGAGGTGGGTGCGGAGCGGGAGGCCGGGCGGCCGGGAGGGCCGGCGGGCGCCTGGGTACGCCCCGCCGACGGACCCCGCGTCGAGGTGGGGAGAGGCCGGCCAGGTGGCGGAGCCGGGCTCCGGGCCTGCCTTGGTCCCAAACGCTCGTGCCCGCGCTCCTAGTACCTCTCCCAGGCCACCTCCCTCCCCTCTGGGGACACCCCGTCCCTCTCGCTGCCCGCGGCCTCCTCACCCCTCTTGCTGTTTGTCGCCTGTGCACCTGCCATCTCGGCCCCGTGCTCCCACTCCCCTCGCTCTCCAGGCCGGACCCCCGCCCAGTCTTACCTCCTCTGGACCCAGCACCAAATTAGCCTCGCTCCTCCTGCCCCCATCTGTCGCTCTTTGTGGTCTGTACACTTGTCACCTCAACTCTGCTCATCCACTCGCCACCCCGCCTCCAACATCTTCATTTAAATCCAGCCCAGGCCATCATCCCTCTCCCCCTCCCAGGGACTACCCAGCCCCGTCCCTGATTATCCCCTACACCTGCCCCACTCAGCCCTGGCCCCCTGTCCTCCCCTATCCACACTCCTTTGTTGTCTCTGCAGCTGTCCCTTTGGCTTTATTCATCCTTCTCCCCTCGACCCCAGGCCAGACCCCTTCTCCCTCTGACCAGTAAGCCACCCCCCTCCCCAGCTCTGCTCTGGCATTCCTCTGGGTCTGTGCCCAGCCCACTGCTCCCTCAGCCTCACCATTCCCTTCTGTCCCGCCCAACCTCCTGAACACCTGCCCAGTGCACCCTCTCACGCTCTCCCAGCTGGCCCAGTCTTCCCTAGTCTCTGCCACACAGCAGCCTCTTTCCCTGTCCTTGTATATTCTCTCTGCCTCCCTGTGCTCCTTTCCTGTCCTCCTGGCCTCGGCCCTCCGGACCCCACTCACTGTTTCTTGCCCCCACAGGGGCTGCGGAGAAGCCATGGAGCTGAGCAGCAAGAAGAAGCTTCATGCCCTGTCCCTGGCCGAGAAGATCCAGGTGCTGGAACTCCTGGATGAGTCCAAGATGTCCCAGTCAGAGGTGGCCCGGCGCTTCCAGGTCTCCCAGCCCCAGATCTCGCGCATCTGCAAGAACAAGGAGAAGCTGCTGGCCGACTGGTGCAGCGGCACAGCCAACCGGGAGCGCAAGCGCAAGCGGGAGTCCAAGTACAGCGGGATCGACGAGGCTCTGCTCTGCTGGTACCACATCGCCCGGGCCAAGGCCTGGGACGTCACGGGGCCCATGCTGCTCCACAAAGCCAAGGAACTGGCTGACATCATGGGCCAGGATTTTGTGCCCAGCATCGGCTGGCTGGTCCGCTGGAAGCGCCGAAACAACATAGGCTTTGGGGGCCGCCGTGTACTTGCGCCCTCCTTCCCCCCAGAGCCCCTTCCCCCGGGCCCCACGTCCCGGGCCCAGCCTCCTCTTTCCCTTAAAGACTTCTCCCCGGAGGACGTTTTCGGCTGTGCCGAAGTGCCTCTGCTGTACCGGGCCGTGCCCGGCAGCGGGGGGCCCTGTGAGCGCGTGCGGGTGCTGCTGTGCGCCAACAGCAGGGGCACGGAGAAGCGGCGGCTGCTAGTCAGTGGGCTCCAGGCCTCGCCCAGGTGCTTCTTTGGGGTCAGCAGCGAGGCCCTGCCTGCCTCCTACCACCCTGACCTGGGCATCCCCTGGTCCGAGTGGCTGGCCCAGTTCGACAGGGACATGGGCCAGCAGGGGCGACAGGTCACCCTGCTGCTGGCGGCCCGGGTGCTGGAGGAGCTGGCCAGCCTGCCCGGACTCCGCCACGTGAGGCTCCTGCCCCTGGCCGCCACCACGGCCGCCCCCAGCACGCCGGCCCTGCCCAGCTCCGTGGTCCGGGCCTTCAAGACACATTACCGGCACCGGCTGCTGGGCAAGCTGGCCGCTGTGCAGAGCAGGAGGGCCGGCGTCTCGCTGGCAGAGGCCGGGGCGGGCCTCACGGTGCTGGATGCACTGCACCTGGCAGCGGCGGCCTGGGCCAAGGTGCCCCCGCAGCTCATCGTCAGCGGCTTCATCCAGGAAGGGCTGGCTCCCTGCCAGCTGCCCCCGGCCCCCAGCGAAGCCTCCGAGCTGCCTCTGGTCCCCAGTGGGATGAGCCTCCAGGAGTTTGCCCGCTTTGTGGACCTGGAAGGCGAGGAGCCCTCGTCTGGAGCGTGCAAAGAGGAGACAGGCGCCGAGGCCGAGGAGGGAGCTGGGGAGGACGGCTTCCAGCCCCTGCCCACCAAAGCTGACGCCCTCCGGGCTCTGGGCACACTCCGGAGGTGGCTGGAGTGCAACAGCCCCTCCCCTGCGCTCTTTGAAAAATTCTACGCCTGCGAGGAGGAGGTAGAGCGGCTCTGCTGCCTGTGAAGGGCCCCTCGCGGCTCACTGGAGCCTCTCCTCTCCTGTTTCCCATGGAAACGCCCTCTCTAAAAGGCAGACAGGAGGCTGGTCTCTTTCCCGTGGAAATGGAGCTCTTGTGAAAGGTGTGCAAGGGAGACACGCTGGGAGACCCAGTCTAAGCTCTGAGAGAAAGTTGTCCACGCCTTGAGAAGAGGGGTCGAAAGATGGGGCGCACAGCCGGGTGAAGTTAGCGCCTAGTTTCCAAACCTCCAGGGAGGCTGGGCCTCGGGAAGATGGAATTGGGGCATTACAAACAGGCCAATCCCTTGAACTCTGTGTTTGAAACAGTTCTGCTTCTGGAAATAAAATTTGTAATCAGAAAAGAGATCAGGGTGTTAATTTCCTGGGAGAATCGACTAAGATTCTTTCGATTGGCTACTGAGGCTTGCCGCACCTCAGCTGTCTGGGCTGCGCCGGCAGGTGACCAGCGGGACACCCTCTCTTCCAGCAATCCAGCAGGAAGGGCTCCCAGGGAATGGGGAATCCTCACCCGCTGATAGATCCTGAATTCTGCAGCTCTCGGACTCTGCTCTCAGATCGAGGCTGGCGGGTGGTGTTAGGAAGGAGGGGGCCAGGCTGGGGACAGTCTAGGGAAACCAGAAGGAGCCAGAACTGGGAAGAGTCACGTGTTCAACCGTCCATTTCACAGCATCTCTCCAGCAAGCCTGCGTGGTGAGGCTGCATAAATGGCGTCCCCGCTGAGCAGGACCTTGTGACAGCAGAGGTGCATCCCGATTAAAGGCTGTCACCCAGGCACGTGCACAGTCCTGTGGCCCTGCAGAGCCCGGGGAGACTCCTGGAGGGGTTGTGCCCTCTGAGCTGCAGCTTGGCCGGTAAGGCCAGTCCAACACAAGGGGTGGCGGGCGCGGAGGCCGACTGGGAGGGAAGGAGCACAGTGTGGTGGGCGGAGGCAGGTGGCCCCTCCAGAGCACATGGGGAGGCCTGGGGAGCAGGAGGGCTGTTTAGCTCACCAGACCTGGTGAGGGGACACCCCAAAGTTTCTCAGTCGGGATGGGGACAGGTCATTCGTGGGAGTTCTAGAATAACTGAGATATGGAGAGTGGGTCAAAGATGTGAGAGCCACTGGCAGACAGAGTCCCAGTGGTCCAGGTGGGAGATGGGCACCCTGAGTCAGATCAGGAAGTAGGACTTGAAGAGGATAGATTTACCTGGAAAGGCCATGGGCCATGGGCACAGACAGACCCGGGCTGGTGAGGAGTCCAGCTCTGGCCAAAATCTCCTTGTGGCCTAAAAGGCAGTAGGCCATCACAAGTCAGTACGGGGCAGCTTTTGGGTTTGGGGACACTGTGGTCCAGGACTCAGTGCCCACGGCAGCCACGCAAGCTGGGGGTGGGGCAGAGGGAGAGGAAGAGTCTTAAGCAGACTCTGTGTTGAGTGTGGACCCTTACGCAGCCACCCTGGATCATGACCTGAGACCAAATCAAGAGTCAGACACTTAACCAACTGAGCCACCCAGGCGGCCCGGACAGCTCACTTTTAAACCGTGCTGAGCCTGCCTGCTGGCCTTCCAAGCCCCAGATCCTGTAAGCTTTCCTCACAGATTCCAGTTTTCCTACCTATCTTCCATTGTCCCTTTTCTGAAATCATCCCAGTTCTGACCTATCTCCTTAAACATTAAAACCAGAATTATACGACCTCTAAAGACCTGACCAAAGTAACAAGGAGGGGACACACGAACCCTCTGTCCTGGGTGCTGTATTCCCGTTAGAGCAGCTCAGCCTGACAGCCATATTTCTGCCTTCCTCCCAGAGCTTTTCTTTTAAAGCCACAAGGAACCATTTCCTTTCGTGCGCTGCTGTCCTATAACATTCTTGGCCTGTTTGCAAGCGACTTTCTTGGCTCATTCAAACAGTATTTACTGACTTCTTTGCTGGTGGGTCAGGCGCTGTTCCAGGACCCTCCAGCTCATAGAGAATAAGACAGAAAGGATCCCTCCTCTCCAAGCCCTTACTTTCTGGCAGAGGGAGATAAAGAAGAGACGAGCAAACTAATAAACGTGGTCATTTTAGAGGGAAATCCGTGCCAAGATGAGAATAAAATAATGATGTTGTCGAGAGGGGCTGGGACAGGGGAGTTAGGGAGAAGGCCTTTGGCCTGAGTTGCAAATGGTAAGGAAGTGTTCTCTGCCCAGGGAGCAGCAGGTGCAAACATCACAGGCGGGAAGCAACTGTCCTATGGTAGAGAGTGGGGGCGTGGGGGGTCAAGCAGAGGAGGAGGGTGGAAAGGAGAGGAAGGCAGGGGCCTCGGGGTCACATTGTTCACGGTCATCTCAAGTGAGACAAGCAGTTCGGAGGGGTGGTCTTGGTGGGAGCCTGATTTGGATAACGGAGGAACACACGTTATGTTTTAGAAAATCAGACTCTAGTCACTGTGTGAAGCTCATATGGGAAGTGGGGGGGAGCACACGTGGAAACAGGAAAATCAAGGACGTTAGGAAGCTACTGCATTCGGTGAGACCTGATGGGCAGGGCGAGAGCTGCAGAGGAAGGAGAGGAAGGAAGAGGACACCTGCTGTGCCCAACAGAGCGGAGCTCTTACCAAGGTCCGGTGTCCCTTCCCCCCCTGCAGGCATCACCACCGCACAGTGAGGGCAGGACAAAGTGCAGGCGTTGTTTCTGTTTATCTACAAGCCTATGATGAGCACCCTCTGCTCCGAGGGTGGCAGAGGTGAATAAGACACAGTCCCTGTACCTGTACCTAAGGAACCAGCCAGAGAACTAGGAAGTGACCTGTATATAGCCTGGGGATGGTGGGGGACACTAGATCTGTTGCTTTTGTTTCTACTGATGCTTCAACTCATGGTAACTTTTTTCTTTGTGTGTCTTTTAATTTCTGGATGTGGGAATAATTTTTTAAAATATCTTATTAGGTGGTTTTTGTTTTGTTTTTTTTTTTTTAAATCTCTGGAAAACTTGAAGGTCTGATTTAGGGAGCACTTTCAGAAGAATGTGTAATTACTCCTACCAAGCACGAGAGGGCGCTATGCCACGATAAATTAATTTCTCCGGAGAAAGCTGTTTCAGACCCGAAGTACGGTGAGTAGGCGTGTAGTTCCTGGTTCACAGAGGGGACTCTTACTCTTAATTTCTGTCCACCACAAGGGAGAGGTAGGTTTCTTTGTAGATTCCCTTTACTGGTGGGTGGAGGTTTTCTGGTTTACCCGTTCGCTAAAGGTGTATCCTTTTCCAGAATCTTGGTTTAATTTATGAGTCTTGGGTTCAGCGCCGCTCTGTGTGTCATTCAATGTCTAGTCTTCAGCTCCGAGAAGTTCTTTACCTCCAAGGTCTCAGCATTAGTGTGAGCCCCAAGGGCAGCTCTAGTTCCAATACCCCGATTTGCCCTTGGGAAGTTCTCTTACTTCTTGAAAAGTTAGCAACAGTTTTAAGATCATGTTTGTAATAACAGATCTGGAATCCAGCTGCCTTGTAGAAGGAGGGCTCTAGGTAAAGTCTAGAGCACCAGTCTGCCAGAAGGGATATTGGGAAGACTGGGTTGTTGTTGTTGTTTTTTTTTTCATTTACTCATTCATTCATTTGTTCAAAGCTCTTTATTGAACAACTCTTGTGTGTCTGCTAGCATTTTGATGATGAACAAAAACAGGCAAGGTCTTGGCTTCACAGAGCTCATAGCTTAGAGGAAGGACAATAATCATAAAAGAATCATACACACAAAATCCTGTGATTCCAGATAAAGTGGAGATTACATGAGAGCACAAGCTAGTGGTTCTCAGACTGTGGCCCATGCTGGCAGCATCAGTAGGAATTTAGGAAAGCACAAATTCTTGGAGTCTCCTCAAACCCACTGATTCAGAAACCCCAGCATGGGACCCAGTAATCTGTATTTGAACAAGTCCCCTAGGTGATTCTAAACCACTGGCATAAGCCAAAGGAACTTGACCTAGACAGTGGGACTGAGGAGAGTTTTCCTAAGGAAGTGGTGATGACAGCAGAAGGATGAGTGGGAGGTGCACAGCCAGTGAGAACTGTACATGCAAATGTCCTGTGGTGAGAGGGAACGTGGTTGTTTAAGGAACCAAAAGAAGATGAATGTCTGAGAACCTTGAAGGTTGTAGAAGGAGCTTGTCCTGATTCCTCAGAGCAATGGAAAGCCATCAAGGGGAACAAGGAGAGTAGGGAAAAGTTGAGTTATTTGTCCAGCTTCAGGACAGAACTGGGGCTGTGGTTTTAGGGCTGAGAAAGAGAGAGTGAGTCCTAGAAAACTTTAGGAGCAAGGTTGGCAGGAGCTGGGGACTCCTTTGATGTGGGAGGAGGGGAGCTTCTCTGAGACCTCTGGCCTGAGGACATTTCTGGGCCACAGAGCACTGCAGGAGGAGCAGGCTGGAGGGGAAACGTGGCACTTTGGGATGCTCAAGAATGCGTGAGCAGAGATAGCCAGTAGTGTGGGCCTAGGGCTCGGGACAGTAGTCGGGCTGGAAACATAGAAGCACATTCAAAAACCGCATCCCCGGGGCGCCTGGGTGGCTCAGTGGGTTAAGCCGCTGCCTTCGGCTCAGGTCATGATTCCGGGTCCTGGGATCGAGCCCCGCATCGGGCTCTCTGCTGAGCAGGGAGCCTGCTTCCTCCTCTCTCTCTGCCTGCCTCTCTGCCTACTTGTGATCTCTGTCAAATAAATAAATAAAATCTTAAAAAAAAAAAAAACTGCATCCCCATGGCTCAGCTTTCGAGTAAGTGCGGGAGAAGTGAAGTAAGCCCGAAGCGTCCCACAGTGTGTCATTCCTCCCTGTGCGCATGCAGTCCATGCCAGTTAGCCTCCTCTAATGTCTCCTACTGTGATCACTACTGTAAAAGTAAGTGTCACATTTGACATCACGGAAACCAACGAGATTCTATTTACATTTGTGCAAGTCTCGGGCTGCTTCTACGCAAGGCTCGGACACCAGCCCCAATGTCAAGCTCAAAGCAGGTGCGTTTGCTGTTTGGTTCTTAGGGATTCCTTCGAACTCAGTGAGCTCTCAAAAAGAATGATGACCTCCCACAACATGGTAATTCCTTGAGGAATTTATTTTTTTTAATATTTTATTTATTTACTTGACAGAGATCACAAGTAGGCAGAGAGGCAGGCAGAGAGAGAGAGAGGAGGAAGCAGGCTCCCTGCTGAGCAGAGAGCCCGATGCGGGGCTCGATCCCAGGGCCCTGAGATCATGACCCGAGCCAAAGGCAGAGGCTTTAACCTACTGAGTCACCCAGGCGCCCCTCCTTGAGGAATTTAAACATGAATATCACGAGACTCTGCTCATGTAAAAACACGTGGCTTTTAAAAATACCCTTGGCCATAGGGCGCCTGGGTGGTTTGATTGGTTAAGCGTTTGACTCTCAATCTCAGCTCAGCTCTTTCTTTTTTTTTTTTTTAACTTTATTTTATTTGAGAAAGAGAGAGAGTGAGCGAGAGATGGAGAGAGAGCACAAGCAAGGGGAGCAGCAGAGGGGGAAGCAGACTCCCCGCTAAGCAGGAGGTCAATGTGGTGCTCAATCCCAGGACCCTGGGATCATGACCTAGAGCCAAAGGCAGAGACACTTAACTGAATGAGCCACCCAGGTGCCCCTCTACTCAGGTCTTGATCTCAGGGTTGTGAGTTCAAGCCCCGAGCTGGGCTCCATGCTGGGTGTGGAGCCTAGTTTAAAAAAAGAAAGAAAGAAAGAAAGAAAATCCTTGTTCATTTCCTGCCTGATCTTTGTCTTTCCACCCTCCTTTCTTTTTTTTTTTTTTAAGATTTTATTTATTTAACAGAGAGAGGTCACAAGTAGGCAGAGAGGCAGGCAGAGAGAGGGGGGGGGGGAAGCAGGCTCCCCGCCAAGCAGAGAGCCCGATGTGGGGCTTGGTCCCAGGACCCTGAGATCATGACCTGAGCTTAAGGCAGAGGCTTAACCCACTGAGCCACCCAGGTGCCCCTCCACCCTCCTTTCTAACACTCTTGTGCCCCTTCCTGGGTCTCTGAAAGAGGAGTGAGTTGTTTTCTCGCTAATCCCAGGTCTGTTCTAGTCGCTGGGCTAGACACCATTGTCCCTTGTCCGTCATCACCCTCATCCTGGCAGCGGAAGGAGCAGCCCCATGGGAGGCCTGCCTTCTCTCTGGTTGTGAGTGAGAAGCTAGAGGAGAGGAGCTCCAGCCCCCAGAGACACCTCTAGAAAAAAACAGATAGGGAAAACGGACAGTACAGAGACAGTCTCACAGGTGTAATTACTACCCCCAAAGAGGATTTAACTAAAACCAAATCAAAAAAGGATTTTTAAACTGTTATTCTCTTGTTGACTGGTAACATGATGCATGACAGCTACAGAGGACCACCCTGACCGCCTGCTCCCTTCCTGCCCATTATAAACCCATTTCCCAGGCACCCACTGCCCCCTGCCCCATGCCCCCAACAACTGTCGGACTACCACTGCCACGTCCGGCCCCAAAGGCCTGGCCCCGCGGCGGAGCTGGACAGCCACTGGGGCTCACAGACTGACCCGACATCAGGGGAAACTAAGGCACAGAAAGGGCAGTGAGTGGCTGAGACAGACCTCATTTTTCCATCCCAGAAGCACAGGCTCCCTGAGTCCGGGCAGGAAGGGAGGCCTCCAGTGCTGGGAATTCAGCTCATATCTGCTGGACTGACGACTCCCTCAGCTCGGAAGGGCAGCATGTGTCGGCCGGGAGGAGCACTTAGACGCCATTTCTTAAACTTTAACATGTGTAAAAGGCTGTGCTCCCCGGCACCCAGGCTCCTGGCCAGTGGGGTGCCTCCTGCCTCCCCAGTGGGGCCTTCGGGGGTCAACACTTTGGGCCAAGAGTGAGGCATCTCCTCGAAGCCAAGAGACAAGCAGTTTGCACACGTTACACATTTCTCGAGCCAAAGTCCAAGCACGGGGCCCGATGAGCTCTGAGGGAGGTGAGGAAGTGGAGGTGGCTCCCGGGCCTTGAGCCCTGAGGCTACACTGTGACAGCGGAGGAAGGCAGGGGGTGTGGGGTGGGGGGCAGTTGGGGGGTCACCCGCCATCGGCAGCCCAGGATCCAGTGAAGGAGACCTAATGCCATTAAGCCGAGCCCCGGTGAGCTTGAACTTTGGTGGGTGACGGTCTCAGGCCCCAGGGAGCACAGAGCAGCCAAGTAACTGGGCTCTGGGGCTGGAGGCTAGGATGTGCCCAGGCAGGGCGTGAGGCATTCTGGCTGTGTGACCTCGGACAAGTTAAACACTGTCTCTGAGCTGACTGTGATGATGTTATAATGTTGTGAACTGTGATAATATGGTGATGGGTTTTGTTGTTTGTTTGTTTGTTTTTTTAAAGATTTTTATTTATTTATTTGACAGAGAGAGATCACAAGCAGGCAGAGAGAGAGGAAGGGAAACAGGCTCCCTGCTGAGCAGAGAGCCCGATGCGGGGCTCGATCCCAGGACCCTGGGACCATGACCTGAGCCGAAGGCAGAGGCTTAAACCACTGAGCCACCCAGGTGCCCCTGTTTGTTTGTTTTTAAAGTAATCTCTGCTCTCAGTGTGGGGCTCGAACTTACAACCTCGAGATCATCAGTCTCACGTTCCACTGAAAGAGCCGGCCAGGTGCCCCTATTGTGATGGTTTTGAGAGGGAGCCCCCAGTAAATGGCAAGAATTCTGGGCATTCAGGTCACTATAAGGTGGGCCCAGGTGGATCTCAGACCAGATAGAGACATTAGTGGGTACAAACTCTGCTCAGCTTTATTGCCAATCAAGCAAACCTTCTTGTCATTGCCACTTAGCACTTGAGACAAGTAAAGAACACAAGTGCCATCAATGAGGGTGGGACGGGAGACACCCCGGGGAGGAGTGGCCCCTGACTTCTGGGACCACTCCAAGAGGGGCCAGGCAGGGAAAACCTAAGATGGGGGGACAGGACGAAGGAAGCAGGTGTGATGGCCGGAGTGGGAGAACAGAAGTCTGACCCCTGATCTCAAGGAGCTCCCTGTGTCATGGGGCCAGGTTGAGGAGCAAATCAGAAACCGGGGGCTGCGATAGAGGCATGTGGTGGGATGTGGGAGGGATCGGGGGCAGGGCGAGGGTTGGGGAATAAAGGAGGGGGTTGGGGGTGGCATGAAAACCCCACAGCCAGTGGGGAGCAAGGGGAAACTCCCTTGCCTGCCAGGAAGGACTCTGGCAGACAGTGCTCTGCCTGGGCCAAGGAGCAGGCTTAGCCAAGGGACCCGCTGCCCTCTGCTGGCCAGGAGAGATCAAGGGCCACCCAAGCCCCAGAGAGGAGAGGGCCCAAGAGGTGGGGGAGGTGGGGCTTTTCCCCACAGGCCAAGGGAGCCACTGAAGGATTCTGGACCAGCAGGGGAGAGAAGGCTGCTCTCCAGTTTGGGGGAGCAGGTGGGGGATGGGTGAGGATGCGGTGCTGGAATCCAGGGGATCGTTAGCGCCCAGGAGAGCCGGCTCTGAGAGCTCTCTGAGGGGTGAAGTCACAGGTCGGGCCAAATGTCACCGGCACCAGGGGCCACTGAGTGTGTTTCACAGCCCTGGGGAGCACGGGAGCCAAGGCAAGTGGTGCTGGGAGCCTGAAGCCTGCCCTGGGTTCCGGAGTCCAGGAGCCCGAGGCCCTGCCCTCCGCCGCTGCCTGCCCATCAGGAAAGGCCCGGCCTCTCCAATTGGAGAAGCAAGCAGGTGCGCTCCCCGTGACCTCGCATCTGGGCGGTGGGGCGGGGGTCTGGCTGGGGAGCTGGGGACACTACGTGCACGCTCAGCCCCACCAGCGCAGGAGGTACTCGTAGCTGAGGAAGGTGACAGCGTTGACAGGAAAGGCGCGGGCGCTGTTGATCGTCAGCCCCCGGAAAAAGACCCCCAGGCCTTCCTGCCGGACACTGCTCGCCATGCAGTCCAGCACCCCCCGGTACACCCTGTGCTTCAGCCCCGCCATCTGCATCCGGGACTTGATCACGTCCAAGGGGGTGGCCACCGCCCAGGAGACGATGCCTGCGAAGCCCCCTGCCACCAACACCGAGGCTGAGCCTGGGGCAGAGGAAGCCCAGGTGGCTGTCAGACCAAGGAGCAGAGACCCCACCACCCAGTCCCTGGGGTCCCTCCCCATCCTCTGCGGCCAAGGCCAGCTCCCCTCCCCCACTCCTCTCCCTCCCCCTCCCGCTCACGCAGTCCACTTACTGGGGTTCTGTCCTTCTGGCGTGGACTGGCGGCAGAGCCACTCGTAGGTGACAAAATAGATGCCCAGCGTCGGAGTGTCCCTCAACATAAGGGCCCAGGCTCCCCGGAAGAGGCCCCGGGGCCCCTCCTCCTGGCAGATGGAGACTGCGCAGTGCACAGGTCCCCGGTACCGGGGCGGGGGGCTGCCCGGCAGCGCCCTCGGCTCTGTCTGGTTTTGTAGCCGGACTTTGATGAGGTCAAAAGGGGCCAAGCAGTAGACCTGGAGGAAAGGAAGCACCGAGAGCCTGGGTGGGGCTCCGAGCGAGGAGGATCCTAACAAGAGGACGGTGGTGGGCAGAGTAGGGCCGCGTCTGCCCATCGGACTCGCCACTCCCGCTGCCGGCAGGGCTGGGCACAGGCCGGGCGCCACCCTTAGCATTGGCCCCGGACAGCTGGCGGCACTGCCATCTCCTCGGACAACGGCACCGAACTTGCCTGGCACATGCTCAGAGACAATCCTGGATTGTTTCTCCAAGGGTGGGGGAGGCTTCTAGCCTCCCAAAAGCCGGGGGGAGTGGGGAGCAGGCACCTGCAGTGATGGGGTCTGAAGGAAGCATTCAGTCTGGGTCCCTGAGACAGGTCTGACCCCTCCCCAGACTAATGGAGGTCACTTCCAGCCTTAAGAATCAATTCCTAGGGACGCCTGGGTGGCTCGGTTGGTTAAGCAGCTGCCTTCGGCTCAGGTCATGATGCCAGGGTCCTGGGATCGAGTCCCACATCAGGCTCCTTGCTCGGCAGGGAGCCTGCTTCTCCCTCTGCCTCTGCCTGACACTCTGTCTGCCTGTGCTCCCATGTGCTCTCTCTCTCTCTAACAAATAAATAAATAAATCTTTAAAAAAAAAAAAAAGAATCAATTCCTAGATTCTTGCTCCACGTACTTCCCACGGGACACCTCTCAGAGGCCCGGGAGGGGGTCAAGCGCTGGGCTAGTCTTTCCTGCCTCCTGCAAACCCCCAACCACTAGGGTCCCAACAGAAGCTGAGCGATGGTGGGCTCTGTGGGTCCTAGGACTCTCATCACCCGGCAGAGGCAGAAGGGACAAACATTTGGGGCATTGTTAGGACTTTTGGGTGAATATGGAGGGAAGCTGGGGCCGGGGGCTAATGTGAGGGTCAAGGATGCAGTAGGTCAAGGTCAGCTGTTAAAGTCCAGATGAGATGTGCCTGGGTGGCTCAGTGGGTTAAAGCCTCTGCCTTCTGTTCAGGTCATGGTCTCAGGATCCTGGGATCGAGTCCCGCATCGGGCTCTCTGCTTAGCGGAGAGCCTGCCTCCCCCTCTCTCTCTGCCTGCTGCTCTGCCTACTTGTGATCTCTTTCTCTCTGTCAAATAAATAAATAAAAATCTTAAAAAAAAAAAAAAGTCCAGATGAGATCTGAGGTCAGGCTGAGGTTAGCATGTCATGAGGGGTTTCTGTGGGTTTTGTTTCTTTCGTGGAAAGTACATGAGCTTAGTTCCTCAGCCCTGGAAGCGGGTTCTGGCAGCGCTGTTCTGACAATGCCAGACCGACTTTGTTTACTTCCTCCTGTGCAGGAAGGTAGACTGGGCTCCCTCCCCCTAAGGCGGGACCCTGATGTCATCCTTTCAGAGCCTGCGGGCAGTGCCAAGCTCAGGGCTTCTCCAGGGGATGCGCCCCTGAGTCCTGGGCTCCTGACGGTGCGGAAATGGCTGAGCCAAAGGTAGGGTAGTGAGTAGGGGCAGGTTAGGGCCCCTCTGCTCCCCATCCCAGGCCACACTAAAATCTAGTTTCTACTCCAAGACCCAGGGAAGCTGAATCCATGGGCTTGAGGGCAAACCGGGTTCCTGTTGGACCTTGAACCCAGTCCCCATCCATGAGCCTACAGTCCCCAGTTCTGCTATCCGCTCGGCTTTGCAAAGAGCTGGAGAGGAGGGCGACTTAGGACCTGGGCCTGGCTGGGTTAGCCGCTAGCGTGGAGTCTCATTTCTCTTCCTTGTTTGGGTGGCGTGCCGGTCTCAGAGCTTGGGAAATATGCAGGCATGTGCTCCGCACAAGAAGGGACAGAAGGAAAGCCAGGACCTGCGGGCATCTCACAAATCATTAATTCACTGGCGTGAGCCACCTAATCCTGTCCTTTGTCCTCAGTCTCTGCCCCAGAAAGTGTGTTAGGGGAATGAGGGCAGGTGCCGAATAGATGGTGACCTCAGGCGCCTCAGGCTGGGGTGTGGGGTAGAGTCAGGCACGGGTCCCTCTGCCTCTATGCTCACACCCCCCAACCAGCTGCCCCCGCCCCCGTGTCTGGAGGCCCCTCTTTCCTCCACTCCGCCAATCAAAAACCCAATCCTTAAATGCTGAGAACAAAGACCAAAACTAAATGATGGGAGCTCTTTAATGATTAATACCCAGGCCTCCTCCAGCGAAATCTATGGACTGGGGTCTAGTTGAAGCTTCAGGCAAAAGGGCTGAGCGGGGCATGGGCTGGAGGGCTGCCAGGACCACGCCGGGGCTGGAGGGGGTGGGCTCGGGGCTCTGGCAAGGCTATCAGTTTTCCAGGGCAATGGATCCCCCCGGGAGAGAGGTCTTCCCACAGTGCTGAGCCCGGCAGACGGCTCTGGAGGTACGTGTGTGCACGCTCACACCTGCGTGTGCGTGCTTGCAAGCACCTGCGTGTGCGTGCCCCCTCCCCTCCCTCTCACCTGCACGAAGCCTCCCGTGCAGCCTGCTAGGAAGACATGCGCGTAGCTGGGAGGCTGGGCCCGCCGCTCCTGGTGGGAAGTCGCTGTGAGCGCCAGCAGCGTGTTGCTGTAGACCCCGAACAGCACGGAGTTGACCATGGCTATGCTCGCAATGGGGAAGCTCATTCCCTTGAAAAAGCCCAGAAGCTGTAGAAAGACAAGGCGACCTTAGGGCCAAGTGGGGGGGGTGTCTCCTCTTTGCCCTTCCCACTCTGACAGGGTCCCCTCTGGCCAGAAACCAGTCCTGAGTCCTGCCGAAGAGAGGCTGAGGCTGGCTGAGGATGGGAACAGTCTTGGGGCACAGCCAGCTCCTGGGAACCCCTAACTTTGGTCTCCTCTCTTTCAGGGACAGAGCCCCACTGGGGGAGAAGAAAGCTACTGCCGACCACCCAGAGGCCTCCCCTTGCCGAAGCCCCAGAGAAGAGAGACACCCACCGACTCATGGCGGTAAGTCTTAACCAAGCAGTCGAAGATGCCCCGGTATGTGGTCTGGGTCTGCAGCCGCACCTGTGCGAGGAGGACAGAACAGGCAGCCCAGGAGGGATGGGCAGGATGGCTCCAGCCCCTGGCTCCTCCCGCTCTGCCCGGCAGGATGCCAGCAGCGCAGCACTGATAGGAAAGCTCCCCATCAGCCAGGCCCTGCTCTCAAGGCATGGTGACATCTGGTTCTGGTGACAGCCTTTATTCCTGAGATGCCTCCCCTCGACTCACCTTTACCGTGTCAAAAGGGTATCCCAGGACCAAGCCCAGAGCTCCTGCATGATAAGAAGATGTTATGAGGGGGGCCCCTTGCACCTGACCGACAGGAGGGGAGCTCGGGCAGGAGAAGATGGGGCCAGGCCTTCTGGCCAGACTCCAAAAGGACTCCCGCAGGCCCCTTTGCCTCCTCGTCCAAGCCAAGCTCTGGGCTAGGGAGGTGTGGGGACCAGGGGCAATGCCGTTCCCAGAGGACACCCAGGCAGAAGGGAGGAGCCCGCCACAGACACCGTGTCCTCACAGTGTCCAACACTGACCGTCCTGCTTGCTTATCTAGCTGTGGGGCCATGGGATAGATTCTCCAGGGCTCCCACATCCCTGCCAGCCTGACCCCCTTTTCCCTTCTACTCACACCTGCTGTGGAGTACGGGGTCTTGGTCCAGACCCTCAGTACGGAGCTGGGGGCCCTACGGCGTCTTGCTGCCCCCCGCCCCGGGGAGGAGAGCCCAGCCCCCAGGCACCTCCCCATGTTCCGATCTTGCCCCCCAGAGCAGATGCTGGCCCTGGATTCTTGGGCGAGGTCACAGCCCCCGGAGGCAGGTTCGGAATGTCCCTCTCTTTCTGCTGAGGGACACCCAGAAGCTGGGCTGGGCCCTCGACACAGCTGGCCTCGGTGCCGGAAACTAGGGCAGAGGCCCAGAGGGGAAGGCAGGACAGCTGCTGGGGTGAAAGGTAAAATTCCTTTCTGAGCCCCACAGGGTGGGCCTAGAGAGTGGGGTTCTCGGTGAAGGTCTGTTGGTGTGTCTGGGAGAGGGCTCACCGTGGCCCTGGAGGTGAGGGCCTCGTAGCTTAGAGACCCGCACCTTCCTCCCCGCGCCCCCAAGGCAGCTGCCAGGAGGTCTGGGAGCTGGTCCCCGGGCTCCAAAGCCACCAAGACTTTGGTCTCTGTTCCTTCCATGTCCCCTGGCAGTGACGGACCGCTAGGGGGGATCGTAGCAGAAGGAAGAAAAACGTCTCACCAGAGATCCATCCGGCCACAAACTCCTCCACAGGCATTGTCTGGCAGGGGCGGGATCCGGTGGCTCCAGATAGGAGACTCTAGGGAGAGTCTGGCCGTCCCTGATCTCCCTCCCCGTCGCCTGCTCGATAACCTCCCACTAATGTTTAACTCAGCTGGGAGGGTGAGCGGTGGCCCAGTGCCCAGACCTCAGCACCAGGAGGGGAGGAAGCCACCTCGGGTGGCCCTGACGGTGGAGAAGGCCTGTGCGGAGTGTGAAATCTCAGAGCAGGGATCGTGGCGGGTGGCCCGCCCCCTGCCGGCCCACGATGGCCTTGCAGCCTTGCTTCGGGACCAGGCGCGGCAGCCAGGCCCCAGCCTCCAGGGCTGCCCCAGCCGGCAAGGCCTCAATGAGCCTGTCCAGGGCAAGGCCCTGCCTGCCCGGCCTGGCCTAGCCAGCGCAACACCCGGGAACCGGCGGCCAGGCCGGCGGAGATAGAGCATGGCCACCATGGGGCAGGCCCAGCTCGGTCCCAGTGCCCTGGGAACCCCAGAGCGGACAGGGTGGGCACAACCCGGAGAGGAGTGACTCCTTAGCCTGAAGCCCTACCTCCTCCCAGGGGGGTGTGCAGCTTCCCCGGCTCCCTTGCGTGAGTCATACACAGCCTCCCTCGTGCACATCCTTCTCTTCTCCGGGCCTCCCTCCCAGGGGGCAAGCTGGGGATTCGGGTGTTATCAAGGGTGGATGGTGTCTCAGCGCTGGGGTTATGAATGCCCATTTTTCTTTGGACAACAATCTAAAGTGACACGCAGGGAGACCCGCATCCCTCTCTCCTCCTCTCTGCTTCCTTCCTTCCAACCCTCCCTGCGGCCAATACACCAAGCATGTTCTAGCACGCTTTGGATTCCGCTCCCCTGCCGGCTTCTTACAAGCTGGGTCTGCTTAAACACGCTCACTCCTCGCTGTTTTTGTTTTTGTTTTTGTTTATTTTTTTTTAAAGATTTTATTTATTTATTTGACAGAGAGAGATCACAAGTAGGCAGAGAGGCAGGCAGTGAGAGAGAGGAGAAAGCAGGCTCTCCACTAAGCAGAGAGCCTGATGCGGGGTTCGATCCCAGGACCCTGGGATCATGACCTGAGCTGAAGGCAGAGGCTTAACCCACTGAGCCACCCAGGTGCCCCATGTTTTTGGGTTTTTTTTTAAAGATTTTATTTATTTATTTGACAAAGAGAGCGAGATGACAAGTAGGCAGAGAGACGGGGGCAGGGGGAAGCAGGCTCCCTCCTGAGCAGAGAGCCCGATGCAGGACTCAATCCCAGGACCCTGAGATCATGACCTGAGCCGAAGGCAGAGGCTTAACCCACTGAGTCACCCAGGCGCCCCTCGCTGTTGTTTTGAAAGCGATATTTTACATCACTTAAAAATTTGTTGCATCTCTTTACCAATCAGATGATGGCTCGCACCTTGTGTTTCCCATGCCTGCCTGGTACCTTTATTTTTCCTGCTCCCATCCCCTCTCTCTGCCTGAGGCGGGGGCAGCAGGGGCTTCCATGTCATCCAGACTGGGGTTCCCGTCTCGGCTGATCTGTGGCAAGGCCCGTGCTTCCTGAGACTCCGTCTCCCATGTCCTTTGGGATGCTCTGGAGGTCATCCAAGGGGGGCTTCCAGGGTGGGGCGGGGGGTGGGGGTGGTGGTCACGTTCAGGATCACGGCTCCCTGACATTTCAGTTATTTCTGGCAGCAGGGCGAGGGAGCCAGCGGCAGTCCCGCGGACCTGGAGGCAGGACACGGATGGACGTGGATGCACACGGTGGGGGTCAGGGCAGAGGGCAGAGCATCAGGGCAGACCCAGGGACATGGACAACCCAAGTGCTGAGGCTGCTGTCGAGCATGAGTGTCTGACATGAACAGAGTTTACAGGGTGGGGGGTGCTGATGTAACGTATTGTTCACATCCCGGGCCGCGGGATATTGTCAGATCCTATTCGTAGGTCTGTTGAGAAGTGGGGCCAGGGCAGGGTCCTCTTTTCAGGGCACACAGATCCAAGGCGCAGGTGTCACCACCTATAGAAATCCGTGAAGTCTCCAAATGTGGGTGCCAAATTTTGGAGTCCCCCTTGCCTCCTCCCTCTGTCTCACAGCCCCCCACCATCCCATAAGGAAATTGTGTTAATATTGCCTTCAAAGCAGGACCCAAATCCCACCCTTCCTCTCCTCCTCCTCTGCTAGCACCCTGGCCCAAAGCCACCAAGGCCTCCACATGGTCTCCTGGTCTCCCTGCCTCCTCCCCTGCCCACTTCCAGTCTGTTCTCTGCCTCGTAGCCAAAGGGACTCAGCTGAAATTTAAGTCAGACCGTGTCTGCGCTTTGCTCCATACCTTGCAAGGGTCCCTTCCTGCTCAGACTGAAAACGGATGTCCTTCCTAGGCTCTAGGACCCCTCAACATTCAGCCCCACATTCCTTCGACCTCATCTCTGGCCACGCCCTGGTCACTGTCCCAGCCTCCCGGGCCTCCTTCTCTTCATCCAACGGGCTCCTGCCTCCAGACCTTTGGCACTGGCTGTTCCCTCTCCCTGTTGGCCTGGTCTAGCCTGGACTCAGACTTATCACCTGCCGGGCACTCCTGGTGCCCCTTCCCTGGCTCTTCCTCTTCGTTCTTCCACGGCACCCGTGACTTTCTGATGCACCAGTGATTAACTTGTTGTCTGTCTGGGCTGGGACCTCTGGCTGTTTGTTCACTGATGTTATCCCGAAGGCTCAGCACAGCACGTAGCAGAGGACAGGTGCTTAATACATATTTGGCACAAGAATGAAGGAGTAAACAGCAAGGAGGGGGGAACAGCATTAGAGGGCAGCCCCGCAGCCCGCCCTGGGTCTCCACTTCTCTCCCCATCTCCAAAGGGCCCCAAAGAATGCGAAGCCCCAACAGTATCCCTACCTGCCCCTCCAGATCATGCAACTCTTTGTTCCCTGTCAGATACCCAAGGACCAGTCCCACTCACCCTTCTGCCTTCCCGCTGTGGCCAAAGTAGAACCCACTCACTGCTACTTCCTCACCGGTAGACGGGTTTTAGGAAGCAGGGCTCATCTCTGACGTCGTCCACCTAGAGCTGCCCGGGGTTCTTTGGGCTGCCCCAGTGCCCTTCCTTGCCGAGGGCTGGGCTGTTGTCCTCATTCTGCTGGTCGCTCTCTCCCAAGTGGGCAATCCCTTCTGTGGCCCTTGGTGGGCGGGGTGGGGGGGTGTCTTTTCCTGCTTATAAAAGCAGGAAACCAGCCCAGCTGATTGCGGAGTCTCAGGCCACTTGGCTCTAAAGGACTGGCGGCCCTCACATCAGAATGGGCCCCGCTCTCTTCTCCCATCCCACCCCACCCCCTCAGTTCAAGGCAGACCCACGACCCCTCTCTGGAGCCTTGCCAAAGGGCAGCCCCAGCACTGGCTGGACTCTTCTCCTGGAAATCCAACCAGGCCTGTCTTCTTCCTGGCCGGGCAGAGCTCTGACCTCGTCCCACTCTAGCTCACAACCCCCCAAAACTCCTCATCACCTGCCAAACCCACCACACACAAACCTCCGACCCCAGGTGTCACCCATCTTCCAGCCTCACCTGCTGTGCTCTGACTGCCCCAGGCTTCCCTGGGGTCCTCACCACGCTCCCACAGGCGCAACTGGGAACGCCTTCGAGAATCCCTTCAGTGCCCTCCTTCCCCGCACTGGACCTGTTCCAGGCTCCTTACTGCACTGTACACACTGCCAGACGTCGGCTTTGTGGTTTGCCTTTTCTGATCCTGTTTTCTCGACTACGCACCTCCTGGTGTGATACAAGAATTAAAGCACTTAGAAAAGAGTCTGGTGCATTGTACCCACACCACGAACAGCAGCTACTATTACTCTCACTTCTACCCACAGGGGCCCCGAGGATGACCTGAGGAAACGAAAGGGTCTGGCACTCAGTAGGGCTCTGGAAGTGAGGACCCATCTCTGCTTGCTTACAGTTTTCCATAGCGTTGAAGGCAATTCTGTCATCGTATGTAGTTGTAAACGCATGTTTCTCAGGGCACCTGGGTGGCGCAGTCAGATAAGCAACTGGCTCTTGGTTTTGGCTCAGGTCATGATCTCAGGGTCCTGGGATCGAGTCCTGCATCCACACTCAGGGTGAAGTCTGCTTGAGGTCCTCTCTCTTCCTCCTGCTTTGTTCCTCCCACTCATTCTGTGTCTCTCTTTCTCTCAAATAAATAAATAAAATCTTTAAAAGAAATTACTTGGGGCACCTGGGTGGCTCAGTGTGTTAAGCCTCTGCCTTCGGCTCAGGTCATGATCTCAGGGTCCTGGGATTGAGCCCCACATCGGGCTCTCTGCTTAGCAGGGAGCCTGCTTTCCCCCCTCTATCTCTGCCTGCTGCTCTGCCTACTTGTGATCTCTCTCTCTCTGTCAAATAAACAAATAAAATCTTTTTTTTTAAATAAATAAAAGAAATTACTTAAAGAAAAGAAATACACATCTCTCCTGGGCTTCCTTCTTCCCCCTCTCTACCTCTAAGTAAACCATAATTGAGCTTGCACTGCCTCACCTCCTGCCCTAGCCCAGACCCCACACCCAGTAAGCACTCAGTGACACTGAACTGTGCTCCCACTGTGATCTGGCTGGTTAAGGGAGCCCACCAAGCCATCGTGTCCTGGCCTGAGGGTCTCAGAGCTTAGAACCTGGAAAGAGATGCTTGTTTGTTTTTTTGAGAGAGAAAGGGAGAGAGTGGGGGGGGGCACGCAAACCCAGGGATCTGCAAGGGAGAGGGAGAAGCAGACTCCCTCCACCCTGCTGAGCAGGGAGCCCAATGTGGGGCTCGGTCCCAGGACTCTGGGATCATGACCTGAGCCAAAGGCAGACACTTAACCGGCTGAACCACCCAGGTGCCCCTGGAGGAGATGCTGATTATTGCTCACTCTTCTCTCCAGCTCACATCGAACTTCCTTGAGTCCTTAGTTCACGCAAGGAAGACATGTTGCAATGGGTTCAAGTATGGGGTAGCGTGGATCCTGGAGGGCAGGGAAAGAGCTGTTTATACTAAGGAAACTTGGGCTGGGTTAGGAGATGGGGCTGCCTTCCAATGCCGGGGAACGAGGGCAGAGTGAGCCCACTCCCCCTTTTGCTCTGCACCCCCATCCCTGGTCATCCAGCCCATTGTTGTGGCTAGAATGACTTCTGGTTCTTCTGGCTCAGGAAGGTGCCCCATGGACCTGTTTTTCTCCCTGAGATCTACACATCAGGCATACATGCCGCTTCCTGACCGCACACAGAAGAATAGGCACAAACAAGTCA